TATTTTTCGATTAATTAGGCTAAAAACATAGCGTTCGCTAGTATATGCAGCCAGGGGTGTTAGGGCTCAAAGAACAGCTTGGGCCCATTTCAACCCCGCAAAGTTTTCGCCAGCCTTAACATATTATGCAGCAGTAGCAATTTTCCTTCTGATTTCAGGTGAGGATGCCAGCGATTTTTCCTGAGATGCCAGGGCAATCTTTCGCCGTGTGTATACTGGTAATTGATCAGGTGGTCAAAATTCTATATAGGAAGCGCAGGCGCAGCTGCGCAGATGGGCTGCGCAGTTCACCCGTAAGATGCAATGGCAACAATTTCGCCGATCTATTAAAATTTTTTTCAAGGTATGAATACAAACTAGCGTGGCAAACAAGGGCTGTGTCACGACAACCGACCCACTACTCATACAAGCCTCACCTAATATACCATGATAGTTATTCAACCCGAAAGAGCCAGAATCTTTGCTGTAGAGGCCAAAAGAACCTGGCAGTGACAGCTGGTCTTGGAGCATCTGCTAGAGAGATACACGAATTTGCATTAAAACTGGTTAACACTGCCATATATCAGATAGTTGGTAGCTATTGTTCATGACCCTATTTGTTGCCATTCCTCTTATTCCCAGGTTTTCTTTTGATTATTACAATATTTGCAATATTCTCTATATTCCACAGTCTGTTATGTTCTCGCTGAGAAAAATGAAATCTGGTGGTCGTGTATCATCTCGTTCTTTTCAATATTCAATATACTGACATATAAAAACGGTAAATTATGTACCTTTATAGGAATCTGATACCTATATAAAGAGCAATTAAGCGATTTCATTTTGTACTTTATTATTATCATTGTACTTGATTTAGGTTTGCTAAGAAATCAAAAAAATGAAGTATAATGAAATAACCGCCACAGGATCCGAATAGTTGATTTTGATATTTAATTTTCGCATTTGTGTGAACGATAGTTATTGTCTTCTTCATGTGTTGCAGCTTGAAGTTTGCGACAAATTTCGCAAAGCCTGAAAAATCTCCATCATGCAGTGATTATATATATAGGTTGGCTAAAAATGGTGTGTCAAAATAAGAAATTTCATTCCGTTATGTTTCGTGTCTCGACCCACTCAACAACATGGCTAATTGTTAATATTCTGAGCATGGTGATTGCCACAACACTGCTATGACAGTTGCTACACCAGCTGAAGCAAAGCGCAGCAGAGAACGAAGTATGCTAACGTGGTTGGACAAATATGGATTATTGTTGAATTTCTTCACATTTGGTGCAGTAAAATCAAGCCATTGCATGCTACCAAGTCTGATATTGGCAGTTGGTTAAGCATTTATAAAATGCTCGCACATACACTCTCAAATAGCATAGTATTCTACAAAGCAGCTGCCAGCTGCAGTCGGATCTTTCTCTCTTTACAGTACACTGGCTGTGGTTGTATAATGGTTTGTTTAGTAGGCCCTCCTATAATGAGTAGTGGAACAACGTGGTATCCATGTCTGCTGGCTATGTTTTTGTATCTATTTTTTGAGTGTCACCGTGTTTCACCGTTAAACCATACGCGAAATTTGCCATGGATCTTACGGTGAACCG